AACAATTTTGTTCTCCTTACATAATTTTACATTCGATAAAATCTTGATCTATTAGTTGAGTGGGTAGATTAGTAGATTGATAAAGGTGTGATTTGCTGTTTCATTTTAAAATTGAGACGTGCTGATGAAGAAAGATCTCGACACTAAAATAATTCTTGTAAAAACGTTTCACCTAAAATTTTTTTTAAAAAAAAAAACTTTGAGGGATTTTATAATCATCTTCGTTGTAAACAGATTTCAACATCTTTAAAATGGTTTTCAAGTCCACTAAATATTTCAAAAATCATTATAGAGTGTTAAAAAGTTTTCCCACAAATGACCCCCCTGATTCACAAAAATCTTTCTGTCTGTTATCAAGGGTGAGAAAATATCTTGACTAACCTAACTGCAATAAGGCATGAGAACAATAAAAGAATTTTAATCCATTTAAGAAGACAGAATATAATAAATACATTTTCATTTAGATTTTTTGGAATCACTAGTTGGATGAAGAAACAAAAAGTTTCGGAGATCGCAAATAAATTCTATTAAAACTAGCAGTATGGCCCGGCGTTGCCCGTGCTTGATTCAAAAATCGTACGACTCATACAGCAATCACTATCACTTGAATTAAAAATATTTTGCCCTTCCTTGCCTTTAAATTGTGCCTTTGTTGTGCTGATGTTGCTACATGCCTTATTTTTGCCTATCTCACACTGCGAATTTTTTTTGGGAAGCTCTATACTAAACATTAAATCTGTTACGAAAAAAAGAACTAAAACAAATGAACACAAAAATGATCAGGTTTAAAAAAAAAGGACTCGTAACTTTGAAAACCGAATGAAAAAAGAATGTTAATAACAAATGCTTTTTCACACCCAAACCCAGTTCTGCGGAATCAGAATCAACGTTGAGTTTAAGCAAACGAATGAGCCAAAAGAATGTAAAGTGCCAAAGCAAATTTAAAATTTCCCCCTTGTGACGAATGCAAATATCGATTTTTTTTGCATGTATATACGCTAGTTAACATTAAATGTCAGTATAATGTTGGCTTCGCTGATAAAATAATTTATAAATTCTTATAAACATTTGCTTTCGTAGGCTCATCAACGCTGAAGTAGAAAAAGCCGCAAATACATGAAACTGTCCGTGCAAAAGAAAAAAAATCGTTTAAAAGCACTATCGATGGGGAGTTGGGAAATGCAAAAGAAAGATGTATTCAGAGGCGATTGTTTGTCATATGCATGAAATGTTGGTCAACGAATCCTTGTTTTATAGATATTTGATGAGTTGAGTCAACACACAAAATAAAAACCTTTACATTAAGAGTTCAGATTTTACTTTAAATTGACAAATGTTCATAACATGTTATTTTAATATAATAAATATATATATATAATATATATATATATATATATATATATATGTATGTATATGTATTAATTAAAAAAAAAAACGAATAATTGTGAATTTTTTACAACCGTATTTTTCCAATGCAAATGACCCATTGCATATGTTAGTATTTCATGTCCATTTAACGAAGTCGTTCCTTTCAGGTTGATGACAGATTTTCAGTTTGATTTAAATCAAGAGATTTTGGAAGAATGGTCTTATAACACTTTGATTTACTTAAACTGAAACCTTCTTGCCAAACACGTTCGTGCAATGTTACAATTTTTTGTACGCTTCCTTGAGTAAGGTCCAACTTCAGTTCAATGGCCGTAGGACAAACAAATCGAAAGTCGAGACAATAGTGTCTGGGCGTGATAAAATAAACAGATGCAATCACAGATGACGCAATATTTTTCAAAGCCAAACAAATTTCATCATACACCCACCAAAATAGTTCATATTACAGCACACCACTGCAAATGACCTAATCTGAGGGAAAAAATAAATTAAACTATCGACACCCTGTCACTCCAGTGGGTCTTTTAACAGACCGTATGGTGAAAAGAAAAAAAGGAAACTAAATCTATTGTTTCAAATAATTTTACAAATATATTCGGGGTATAAATATTATATATATATATATATATATATATAATATATATATTTATGTGTGTGTGAAAAGCTATATAAATCACCAGAAATATATATCATGTATAATTATTTATATTTATAAGCTCGGTTGCTTTTAAAAATAATGCAATCAATATTAGAGATAGAGCTAATAAATTTAGTATGATAGGTGAAGAATTTGGAAATGCCATTTTTGAGCGATTCACTGACAAACTATAAACGGAAAAATTTAAAATTAATCAGTTTGTTTTGACGATCGCTGAAGTAAAAAAAAAGAATCAAAATTCATTTCTATCCAAAAATAAATATATATATATCAATATATATATTATATATTTATTTATATATTTTATTGGCTCTCTGTGTGCGCCAAGAAATTTTTTTCCCCGGAATCGATTTTAAAATAATGAAATCAACCATTTTGCAGGGAGTATTAGCTGCCATATATGGTCTGGAGTGTTTTCCCCTCTGTTTACGTCGGAGTTCTTGAAAGATCCAGAGGCGGATATGTAATATAATTGGCCAGACATGTGGCATTTCGTCTATAGTTGTCTCTTTACAGACGCGCATGTCGCCACTATTAAGTTTGTCTTTTTTTACAAATAATTTCATGGTAAAATTGAAATGAGCTGCTTTCATTGGTTCCCAGACTTCATGAATTCAAGCCCCTACGAAGCTGGCATCCCGCCGCCACCCTTACACTGTAGAAAATTTTTAATGTAGCCATCTCTTCTATTCCAATAGCTTCATGTTCCACCTGGCAGAAAAAGGAACCCCTTTATCTATTAGTGTTTCCCTGAGAGCTATAAACTCCAACTATTCAAATGTAATGTCAATCGACATCTCCAGTTACCTTGATCTATCCACTATCCTTCTCCTCATCCTTTCTTCTATCAACCCATCCTGCTCTCGCTCCAAATCTTTTTGCACCCCTAATATATATATATATATATATATATATATATATATATATATATATATATGCAAAATTTGAATTCACTTTAAATACAGTATTAGGAGATTTGCTGAAGAATTTATCTAATGATAGGAAACAACACGGCAGAATTCATGTAAAAATAATTCAAATTAATCTTTATATATAAATCACATGAGGAGTTTTTTTTGATTATTCAGTCTGACCTTTCTCTTCTGATTTATTAAATGACCTGGGATCCGAATTTATTTAAGAAATCAGTTTATTGATCGTCAGACTGAAAAAAAATTAAAATATTAAAGCCGGCAATAATTTAACTAGAACAGTTTACCCCAGTTGAAATAAATAAAGGGTTCCAATTCATTCCAAAGAAAAATTTTGAAGAAGGCTGGAGCGTACAACAGCCAAACGTTGTGACAAATATGAAACAAAGATGAGGAAAGAAAGAGACTAATTAAATCATCACAATAAAAATTCATCAGTTCAGAAATATTTACAAATTCTGAAAAAAAAAGAGAACTCCATTTTATTTAAATCCATTTAAGAATGAAGGAAATAAAATAATTATAAAATTTATTGATCTTTTATTTGTATATCCACGCCATACTGTTGCATATATGATTTATTGCCAAACTAAATGTTGAGATCCTAAGAAAATTTGAGACGAATATGCAATGTGATATTTCCTGAAAGGCATCTTTCTCCTAAAGTCACCTTTCACAGAAATGATGTTTATATCCTCTGTAATAAATTTCTACAAATATTTTCATGTTTCTGCCTCTAAACGAGCTACCTGTCACTAGTTAAATCTTAACTGCTTTTTAATTTTTTTTGTGCTTAATATTTTATCATTTCGGATATCCATTCACTTTCGAAACAGTTCCATGTAACCGTCTCTTCTGTTCCAAAAGATGTCTAAATTTTTCAGCCCCGACAGTGGAACCCTTTAAAATAATAGCTATAATCTTCAAATATTTCAATGTAATGTCAATCGACATCTTCTCTTGCCTTGATACTGATCCCTGTCTTTCTCTATGTCCTTTCATTTTTGACATTCAATTACTGTCTGTAACCTTACGTTCTTGGTAATCCCGGCCTTGCTTGAGGTGACATACTTCAAAACCCTTTAATAGGAAAAGACCAACCCGGACTTTTTTTCATCATAAATGATATCAAATATTTTATATATATCAGCCAGATATATGTTTAAACTCATGTATCTTTCAATGATGGCTGACAAGATTTTTTTTTTTAATATTATGTTGCCATCCAAAAACGTTTTCCTAAGAACGTAAATCTAGCTGGGTTGAGAAGAAGAGGATTCATAAATTTTTCCAATGGTATTATAAACGTAAGGAATGTAATGGATTCAATCCATCGAAAAAACTATCAGAAATCATTTACATCAGTCCGCGCTGATATCCATTAATCTACAAAAGCCCCTATTTATATAATATAATGATTAAAACATTAAAACAGGAAAAAATAATATTCTGTCAAATTTATTTATAAAATAACAAAAATATCTTGATTATAAAGATAAGTTTTTTTCTTTGGAGCCATGTGCATTGTTCTAATTTGTAGAACTTAATATTAAGTTATTAATAGTTAATAATGTTTAATTTTATATATGAATAATTTATATCAATTTCCTTGTATCGAAAACTTTATTATAGGTGAGAAATTCATTTCTAGAATCATGTAAAATATTGAATTTCATTTAAAAACCGAACAAAGAAAAAATCAGTATTTAGATTCTTTTCATGAAACTGAAAAAAAATTCAGTTGAATTTACAGGAAATATAACAGGAAAAAAATTTCTGGTATTAAATGTATTAAAATATATTTCTAAATTTCCATTGTGTATTATTTAGAAGAAACATCATTGCTATGGTTTTTATAATCAGCCATTGTAATTGTTATTGCTTTTTTTTTAAGATCGCTCTAGTTACAGCAGCATTACAAAAAGTTGAAAATAATTTCCAAATTAATGAGGACAGCTGAGAGAGAAAAAAGAAATGATAGTTTATTGTTCCTACATTTAACAGTATGCGCCATTAAAAAAATGGCGGATATATCAAATGGTCAAATCCGTTTGTTTCTTTCCTTTTTAAATAATCACGTCTGCTTTCTCGTGTCCTTGTTTTCGTTTCGAGATTTAACAGGAAGCCTTATTGGTGGGAAAGTAGATGGGAGAGGATAGATACAACATTGTATATATATATATAAATTGGGAGGGGAGAAAATATAAATTGTTTATGAAAATTTAAGTGAGGATCAAGAGTTGGTCATCAACGATGTCGTTGAAAATTTTCGTCTAATTTTTTTTTTTTTTTTTTTTTTTTTTTTTGGAGAAAGGTAATGTCAGATATATTTCCATCGAGGTAAGAAACAGTTGCTACTGAAATGAGATTCAACGCCTGGAGTCTGTTTCTTTTAGCAAAGCTTGAACATCTATTTTAAAATTTTTCAGACCGAAGGGACAAATGTATTTCATAGATTAGAAACAATTAGAATATTCACTCACATCTGCATACATCTGTCGGTGTGATAAGCTATCTGTTTATCTACATCATTTTATGCTTTATCTATCCCAATCTGTTCGCATCTATCTATCTATCTATCTATCTATCTATCTATCTATCTATCTATCTATCTATCTATTCTTCTATCTATCTATTCTTTTATCTCACATCTATTTATCTTTCTAAAATCTATCTATCTATCTATCTATTGTCGTCAGATCTATATCTGTTTATCTATCTATCTATCTATCTCATCAATCTGTTCATCTATCTATCTATCTCAATCTAATCTATAAATTCATCTATCTATCGATCTCATCTATCTATCTATTCATCTATCTATCTCAATCTGTTCACATCTATCTATCTATCTCAATCTGTTTACATCTATCTATCTATCTATCTATCTATCTATCTATCTATCTATCTATCTCAATCTGTTTACATCTATCTATCTATCTATCTATCTATCTATCTATTTACATCTATCTATCTATCTATCATCTATCTATCTATTCATCTATCTATCTATCTATCTCATCTGTTCATCATCTATCTATCCATTCATCTATCTATCTATCTATCTCAATTCATCTATTCATTATCTATCTATCTATCTATTCATATCTATCTATCTATCTATCTATCTATCTATCTGTTCACACATATCTATCTATCTCAATTTGTTCACATCTATCTATCTATCTATCTATCTATCTATCTATGTATCTATCTATTCATTCATCTATTGGGTTTTGAGTATATATTGCTTGCAAACAATGTCTTTGTTTCATAATCTCCATCTCGTCTACTGTGCTGTATTAAATATATTTATGATGATAAAACTCTCTTTTTTGTCAATATCACTCAATCTTTTTTACTCACACGCACCTCACTTTCCATATGTGGGTGTCTTCTTGTTAAAATCTGACATGAAATACCCGATACATATATATATATATATATATATATATATATATATATATATATATATATATATATATATATATATTACTAAAAAAAATTTAATTTGTTAAATTCAAATGATGATAATGATTTTCACTTTGGTACAATATGCGCGTTCAAAGGAGCAGTAGATATTTTGATAAAATTATAAAATTTTCTACCATCTTGTGAAGTAAAAATGCTTAAACTAGTGATAAACCTCTACTCCAGCCCAAAAGACCGGGGAGAAGTGGAAATAAGAACGCCTGTTGCAATAAGTTTCAGTTTTGTTAAAGCTTCAACTGCAAGATGTTATATGTTACAGACACGAACAAATGCTGTTTGTTCAGTTAGTGTTTTTATGAAGTTTTGCTTGCCTCGAGTCTTAAACTGGTAGGTCTGGAAAGTAATTTGGTATAAAAACTGATTTATTCCCAACATTATCTTTCATCGTTCAAAAGTGGCTAAATCCACACACCCGACCATTATTCTTATTTCTCAGTAATAGGAGATTCTGGGGCTACACGGTTTTTCCAGGCGCCTCGAACAAAAAAGACATTTTAAGCAAAAGATTTTATTGAAAAAAATTTTTGTATATTTGAAGGAGGAATTTAAGATTTTCGTACAAGTCGAATATTTGGGCCTCCCTTAGGGCAATACAAGCTATCAACTGGTATAGATGATATAGGGAAAAATACGTTTTTCCTGTTTAACAGATTAACGCATTTGTCTTCCGTAATTTGTAGAGTCAAAGTGTTGGCCTCACAAACAACATACCTTAGGCCCAAAAAAAATGAAAAAAAAATGATCAACTGTCGGAGCGAATGACGGCTTATAGCGTTCGGTGATGAGAACAGGATCTGACTTCAAGCAGATGAAGTTGCGCTTGCATATGCAACTTAGATTTTGGGATGTGGCATCATCCAGAGTATATTCCCTCACGACATACAGTCCGCATCCCTGGCATCAGTTTGTGGGGTGGTATCTATCTATCTATCTATCTATCTATCTATCTATATATATATATATATATATATATGTATATATATATATATGTGTGTGTGTGTGTTGTGTGTCTGTGTAATACTGTGACTTCCTTTACTATCTGTCCGTCCGTTAGCCCCCTTAAAATAGACGTATATTGACCAATTGAAACCAAAATTTTGCGGGAGAATGCAAACAGGTAAGGATGTACAGTTGCTTTTACTCGGGTGTGTGAAAACGGTGAAGTAGGGTTTTTGTCAAAGTATTTTTCCAAGCAAATCAGCTTATTAGAATTTCATCGATTGGTTTGCGAAATTGAACGAAACATAGAGGTTGAAAATCTCGACAAAAAAAAAAAAAATTGTTAACTTTACCATTGCTAAATTCTGTGAGAATTTCGACACAATTCTACGTGCTGCAAAAAAAGATTCTAGTGAATTATAACTCCTGTTCGACTTTGTGGTTTTTGGATTAAGACGTGCAATTTAACTCTAGGTTATTGCCGATCTTACAACTCAACAGATTAATGCCTTCCAACGTCGTGCCCATGCTATTCCTATTCTGTAAGGTTTTTTGATAAGTTCTGTGGCCGACACAATGATTAAATGCATTCGAAAATATATGTGAAATAACAGGAGGATATCTGATTTATTTACTTCACCAGCCTACAACATTTAATGTCAATCATCTACTGATACCAAAAGCGTAGAATACTGTCTCGCAAGATAGAGCTTGCTGCCAGTAAGGTTATGGGCATGGTTTGAGATAATGTCCAAGAAGGACATATCGTTTATAAATGGGAGTTCTGAATAACTGATACTGTTCTTGTGTCGGAAATCTTGTAAGTATTGATTTATATAAGAGATCATTTACTTTATTGTAATGGTCAATACCAAAGGGAATTTGGTGATCTTTGTTCTAATCCTGGTCTAGTCCATTGCGTTCACTTTCACACAAATGATCTTGGGAAAGGTCTAAATGCATCTCAATAGCAGTTAATATAAAGGTACATAGGGCTCTCTAACCTTGGTTTTGCAAGGTCAAACTTGAATGAAAAACCTGTTGAGGGTCAGGTGGCAACTCCAATTTGAAAGAGTATATTTAATAGGCAGATTTAAGTTATTGGTTAGAAGTCTATCTATAAATAAAAATAAAAAAAACACCCAGTCGTAAGTAGCCTGGGCCAATTCTGTCGGTCCGTAAAGATAGCGTCTTCTTAGAAGTGGATATTCGGGCTTGTGCAGTTTTATGTCCAATTAGTGTATATGTATATGCATAGATTAATGCAGAAGCTGTACAGGATGTTTAAATATGTTACGCTTGTGCCAAATCTCACAAACCTTTTGAAAACGTACATACGGATTACGAACGAGTCGAAACCAGACCGTCCTGGAAATATTTTCAGACAGTTAATATCTCATAAAATATTAATAATCGAGTAATTTTCAATCGTATAAGATGAAGACAACTCGAAAAAAAAACCCATAGTTTGTGTCCTGAAAAGCTTCATTGAACAAAGCCTCTTTCTGGTAAATCGTATTCCTGAAGTATTACTGAGTTACAAGAATGTATTTCCGTATTAATTTCAATACATTTATCTCTCTCTCTATCTATCTCTCTCTATCTATAAATATATATATATATATATATATATATATATATATATATATATGTATATATATATATGTATATATATATATATATATATGTGTGTGTGTGTGTGTGTAAATTATACGTTATAAAAATAGATATAATTTCTTTCAGCAAATGCTGAATTTTTTTTAAAATTGTCAATATTAATTATATTTACTGAACTGAAATTTCATAGAAAATGTGCACTCCAAAAAGGAATCAAATTCTAAATCCTACATGGGATCGTCAATTGATCTGACGTGCTATATCACTTAACTACAGAGAAAGCATCTGGTTTGATGAAGTCCAAATTACTTGTACATAATTTGATATCTTATATTTCTATTCTATCTATCTATCTATCTATCTATCTATATCTATATATATATATATATATATATATATATATATATATATAAATAACTATATATATATATATATAAGTGTGTGTGTGCATGTGTGTGTTTTGTGTGTATATATATATATATATATATATATATATATATATATATATATATACATTTTGTATTCAAGATAACTGAAACTGTCAGTGCCTACTAAAATTATCATTTATAGTAAAAAAAATAACGTTTATAAAAAACATTTCAATATATATATAAATATATATATATATATATATATATATATATAAATATATCCTGAAACTGCAACACATATGTTATTTTATTAAACAGTGTCTCTTGATCCCCATTTTTTAGTTATTTTGTTTAATTTCACTGTTTAAGAAGAAAAAACCAGTGACGTCAAATTTGGAAGGTTTCATCCAAAAATAATAGTTATAAAATAAATACAGTGATAAAATTTTGTTTTTAAAATGTCCTATATTCTCGACGTCCACTGACTGGCGTTGGTTACACCTTTCTTGTTATCGCTAGTTTATCAGTTTACAATGTATATATATATATAATATATATATATATATATATGCCACCAGTTTAAACTTAAATTTGTATGTTGCGCAGACAGTTTCCAGCTCTCTTGATTGGTTCCTGTTATTGAATCTAGATTATCTGCCACTGAAAGTCTATATAGTTTTAGTTTTTTAAATGTCTTCACTGATTATTTCGTTAGGCCTGACGATGGCCTGTAGATTGCGTTTAGCATGAAACAGACAGTTGCATGTAGGTGTTGGCTTCAATGTCCACATTTATATACATATGATGATCCGGAAATTGTCAAGCAAGTAAAAATATAGTAATAGACATCAGGACATGTCATGCATGGGATTAACTGTATGACGGATTTGAAACATCTTTCGCCCATTTAATCTCAGTATCACAACTAATTCCGGTTTGCGTCTATGATTTTATATTTTTATATATATATATATATATATATATATATATATATATTAAGAGATTGTTTCATGCTCCTCAAAACCTTCTGTTCAGAGGCCTTGCTTTCGGTGAGTTTGCGTGTGTGTGTGTGAGTGTGCCTGTTTGTGTGTGTGCATGTGCATTTGTGTGGCTGTATATTTGAATGCATGTCTGTATACGTGTGTCATGTTTATATTTCTATACGTGTGTAGAGAGAGTAAGTATATATTTTTTAATTCTCATGCAAAATATGTAAAGTTTTGCATTTTAATAAATACTTAGTATTATGTGGTTACATTATATTTATAACTTTATTTTATTTGTATCTGTATTTTTTATTAATATGCTTCTACACGTGTAGCCTGATATTAAAACTTATAAGCCGGATAATCATACATATATGCAATATATATATATATATATATATATATATATATATATATATATATATATATATATATATATATATATATATATATATAGGGAGGCTTTCCTTCCTATCATTCCCAAAGGTATGCGCATAAGTCTACAAGGTCATGCAAAACATACTAGAATTGAACTCGGCTCTATGCTTTCTCAGTCGAGCTGCTATATTTTACACCTCATTCACTTCCGTTATGCATAACGATTGTTAGTAAGTAAGTTAGTTAGACACAGTGTTTTGAGTTTTACATTTTATTTCGTCCCGGAAATCTCCAAGTGGCGAGGAAAACAAGGCATTTATGCAACAAAGAAGTAACAGCTAAAAATAAAAGGAAACAAAGCAATAATAATAATTATAATAATAAAAAACAAAAAAACAAAGTATGAAAACGAAGAAAGCAGACGATATTAGCGACATAAACTAACAAGACAACATAT